TTTATCTCTCACATGCTGGATTAAAGGGCAGAGGAACTAAGTCCATGATTGTTCTTAGATGAAAATTATCAAGAGCTGGTTTCTTAAAATAGCAAAAACTCTTAAAATGAAAATTGTGATGGAAATGCTGCATGCATGCGGGTTTACGTTTACGACTTCTTTTCGGTATGCCGTAGTACGGTAGTACCCTAAGTCACAAGGTGCACGGCCTTAATACGAAACCTGCAGTATAAGAAACGACGTGCTGATTTCGAGTCTGCGATCAGTGTCCTTCAACCCATCAATAAAATTTTTGTTTAGATCTCCACTCAAGCTCATGTCGGTGAACATTCGATGAAGATTGTTCGTATATTCATAGCCACAAGTATGCTGTAAGAAACAAAGGAACAAGAAAACAGTTATAAATTACAAAATATTATAAACTAGAAATACATGCATGCAATAACCCCTTGCCAATTTAATCCAAACAACCAATTTCCTGACCTAGCGAAATCTAAACTTATATCATGACATGATTGCAATATTTTGAAAAAATTGCATACTGAAACGTTCTTAAAATTATATTATTTTTCAGCAGCTATAGGCAACCGAAAAAGAAATTAAGCAGAGTTGCCTTTTTCGTACACGCCTAAAACAGACTTGTCATTTCTGTAGTAGCTACTTCTTGGTAAGTCCCAAGTCCAACGTTCATAGCCCACAATATTTGTTTTGAAGAAACCTTTTGATATCATGATTAAGTTCCAATGTTCCATTGACATGTTTGCCCCGTAATATTAATCATTGCGTATAATTTAAATTACTACAAAGTTCCTGGAATTTTTACCTTCAGGCGGTTGATCATATTTTCTTCTGCATCCATGGAAACTGACAGATTATGAATTAGACGTTTTGCCAACATCTTCGCAAAAAACTAAACGATTAATCAGAGATATTATTACAGATGGAGGAGCGGTGGAGGAGCAACTTTTGGAAACCTGCTTATATAGTTTGTGATGAATTCATTTACATCATCTTTAGAAATCGAAGGAATGGGAATTATATTTGCAGTGGCGTACGGGAGACGATAATTGGGAAGTGTTGCACATATTCATATATTCATGTTAACAGACCTGTAATCTTGCACAACAGGAATATATGAATATGTTCCCCCCCCCCAATTATCGTGTCCCTTACGCCACTGTATTTGCCTCCTGATTAATGAAAGAACGTTACACTGTTATAGTAATCTTATACAGGTTCTCATTTGCCTCTTTACGTATCAAAATATTTACGAATAAATATGCATGTGTTTCGTCATCTAAGATAACGTATCTAATGTGAAATATACATGATGCCAAACAGGATAAAATATAGTATTTATTCCAATTCCACGACACATACTTAATACGACCAAATAATAGAACAAAATTTGTGAGGTAATTGAGTTGACAAAAAATGTGTTAAAATATGTAAGATATTTTTTGCAATCTTTTTATACCGAGCTTCACAGCTGTAAACAGATGCAAATTCGGGGTGGCGATACAATTGCCCTGCATTCACTGACTGTAAAAGTAATCAATTTCTATCAAACAAGCTATCAAAATAGTGAAAATACCTACCATTTGAAAGACATCTTTATTGTCAAGATACTTAAATACTATGATCTATAAATAAAAATTATTTCGTTAAATCATTACGGTTGTAGGTTGCTTACAGTTACAATAACTGTCGCTGCAAAAGGCCTCGACAATACACGGTAGTGATTCATGAAAGTAAATATAACACGTCAGCATGAACGTAAAAAGTAAAAGATTCAAATCGGCTCATTCGAACGGTGATAATATTTTCAGACATTTTTTCATGCTTCACCCACAAAAGATATGTATGTGTACAGTGTACTATTTTTCGATGTGTTGCAGTTTTAGTATTTCCTCAACTAGGCTATAGTGCTAATTCTGGATCATCTTATCCATTCGGATGAGAAATTGAAATGCATTTGTGTCAGTACTTTGAATGTTTCTAATTTTTTTTAAAAAAATCAAACGCATAGAAATAGGTGGCATCACTTGTCAATGATTACTAATCGACACCAATCCATCCGGGTCTAGCATATGGTGAATGTATAATAATTTCCTCGTTATCATGGGAAACTCACTATATCAGCCATTTTCTCCTCTTGTTCGCTTTCGTTTAAATTTCTTTGGCTTTTCTTTAAAATCGAATCTGCATAGCGCGCCAACTGTAAGGGATGCAATTAAGTGTCAAATAATACGAATGCTTTTGCGAGTACAAAGCGCTAACAACGTCGCGATGCTTACCAATTCTGCAGACTGAGAGCTCTTCTTTGAGGACTTTTCGGTATTGACAATAACGTAACATGCCTAAATGCCAAAAGAATATTCTATACACAAATACCCAAAACATAACACCGACCACATGTAACTTGGCCCAAAACAAATTACGGGCACCGCAACTGCCTTTACATATTATGACAAAATGAACCCAATAATTCTCAAAAGATATCATTTGGCATTTAAATAGAAAAATGGACAAAAGATAATATTTCAGGAATAAAAAGAACAAATTCTACAAAGGCCAATACGTCGACCTACCTGATCCAGAGCCTTAAAAAATGCTTTATCGCCATTGAATGTGTTGTTGATTAGGTTGAAATACTTTCTGTGTATTCGTAGTAAAGCATCGACATAATTATGCGGAGTCTAAAAAAAGACAAATTCACTGCATGGCATTCTAATACAATTAAAATCACAGAAAAAAAGATGAATAAACAGATATACACACAAAAATATAAACAGGAAAATATCAATCAGCAAAAAAGACCAATTCATTTAACAAGTTGTACTTAAATCCTCAATATATATCCCTCTTTTAAAATATTAGGTTAAATTTGACATGCAGTATAATATAAAGAGATCTTATACGTGCATGACCAACATTAATACGATAAGGGAGTTCGTTTACCTTTTCAGCGTCAATACAACGTACGGTTTCCAATCCTACACAAGAGAAACAGTGTTAAAGCAAAGGATAATAAAAATACCAGATAACGTCACGCAAAAGTCATAATTCCGTAAAAAATGTTTGAATTTTTACTTACAAAGATTTTTCTAACTAACAATCTGGCATAGCCTAAGTTGATTTAACATTTTTGACTCGTCATGTTTGAAGGTTTTATTGCCCCGGCGGCTCGTCCAATTTTGGCAAAATTTTCAAACATCACTCGTACTATTAATTCCAAATTGTACTCGCCATCGCATGATTATACCTACACTAATATCTACATCTTAATCAAATAGGGTAAAATATTTTGTTTTTGTAGTAATTTTTTGCTGTAATTAATGTATAAGATATATTTTGAACAATCTTAACTGTGCAAGGCTGAGTTTTCATGAACTTTTTCGGCAGGATGATAGCAATTTATGGAACTGTTGGCCATAGCTATCAATTTCTTTAAAGTATTTTTCACATGTCAGTAAAAAGTACCACAGAAATGTTAAATGTCAAATAGTATTCTTCCTACAAATACATGCATACGGTACCTTTCTCTTTTATGTTGTCCTCCAAAAGTTGAACCATCGACCGTAAACCAGTCACACTAGATTTCATCAAGGAATACATTCTTCCAAGATCTGAACATGAGAATACATGCAAGTGATACAACAATGAATTTAGTGTCTCATAATATGCAACAGTAGTGTTAAACTTTTATTAGTACGGGCCGGAGAGCATTCTTGCTTGCTTTTTTATCCACAATGAAATCGACAGCTTCCAACAAGCTTTAAATTTGCTTTTTTACCATAAAGGGAAAACTAGATTAGATCCTAATCTTCCTCACCTTCAAGATTTTCATCTCTTATCATTTGTTTGCATTCAGATTGCAGTAAATTTACATGACTTTCAACCAACTGTCCCTCACATTCTTTGTTCACTTTGTTTGTGGAAGAATTGTGAAAAAGTCGTGAAGCTCGGATCTTTTCTTCCCGAATCAAATTATCTGCCTGGAATTATAGCAATGAGATTGTAAATTCAAACATTCAAACATACTGCATTTAAGATAATGTGAATTACAGTAATTGAGAACTGTTACATCGTTCCTTTAATAACTCGCTTTATATTTTCGGTACGCCTTTTGGAGTATATGAATCAATTTTACACTAGTTAAGTTGCATTTAATTACATATAAACACATCCATGCATGATTTCGACATATGCGCTATTTATATACATACAGTACCTTGACTAAGTAAACGGAACATGTGAATTCAGATACAAGTCGCGCAGACACCGTTCGGTAAAATTCTCGTGTTTCTTCCAGCAGTTTTCGTTCGAACTCAGATTCGTAAAGCTACCGAGAAAGAAATATGTCGGGTATAAGATTTTTGAGCCTCGGGCATCTCTATACTTATTACTTCAATATAGAGACAATGAGTCGGTTACATTGCACTATAACGAATTTTCTGGCAGTCTTTGCTCACGTTTATATTTATAACTAAATTTTACCTGTAGTTTCCCTCGAATATAATACTCTTGAACGACAACTGCGAATAAATTGAATGGCAGTTAAATAGCAATTAATCGGTTGTTAGGAAAAACCCGGATATTATTTTGAGTTTGATTGAAAAAAATAGCAGCTAACTTTTTCACAGCTACACCAATTTACCAAAGAAAAATAAATAGTAATTGTTTTACAGTTAGAACTCATGTGAATCATGCTGTGGTATATCCCAATTTCCTGTGAATTACCAAATGATTCAATGGCTGCCTTGATTACGCTGTGCTGGGTGTTCTCACCATTTCGATCTCTATATAGAAACGATTGATAGAGTTTAACAATCCATCTAAAAGTTTATTAACATCATATATAACTACCACCGGTAATGTTTATACCAACCTTCCTATCTCGACCAAGATTTCTGCAACTAACTTTTCCTTCATGGGTTCTATTACGGCTTCTCTCCAAATTTCCAATGCAAGCTACAAAGAAGTAGAGGATTTTTATAGCCAAAAGGGTGGAAAGCGAAAATTAACTATGACTGGCCTAAAATAGTCAAAACTACGATGTCTAAAGACCGGTCATACTCGCTTAAGCAGCCCCTTGACTAACTCGTGTAAGTATATTCTAACCAGTGTTCAGAGCATTTTCCTTAAAAACACTATGACATAAAAAAAACGTTTTAATCAAAACTGAGAAAACATGCACGGCACTCTACCGAGCGTCAAGTCACTGGAGCGATTCAAATTTCAAAATGAACGCCATGTCTGCCTGCAGGTTTACCCATGTCGGACAGCTCGAGGGGAAGATTCCAGACTGAATACAACCAACTGGTCCCCCAGGTTGGGGGTTGGGCGGTGGGCCAAAAACTCACCCCCGTAAAAGAACGTTTTTACAGAAACAGACACAAACATTCCGACTTTTCTACAAAATGATAAAAATGAATCAAAATGACAGTGGACAGGCGGACCATATCATAAACCTAAAGTTCCGACGATCACTGAGCGGTGTGTGTGAAGAAAGGCGCCGATATGGGAAGTGACCATGAGGTCGTTATCGCACGAAACAAGCTGAAACAAGAGTGAGGCCGAACAGATGAGAAGGTGGAAAGAACATTTAAAGAAAGTACTAAATGCTGAAAAGCAAAACCGGTAGAGATTGACTCCACAGAGTAAGTTGAGATTGACATCAATACAAATTCTCCGACACTGGAGGAGATTGAGAAAAGTATTAAAGCTATTGAAGAACGGTAAATCGCCAGGAATAGAAAACATCAAAGCGGAGCTAATGAAGGTAGACACAAGAACAACGGCCGTAGCGTTGGAAAAGCTGTTCGCGTTGATGTGGAACAATGAGGAGACCCCTGAAGACTAGCAAAAAGGGGTGATAATAAAGGCTGTCTGTCCCTGGGAAAGTGCTGAGTATAGAGTCGTCATCAACAGAATTAGAGACGAGTGAGAGCATACGTTGCATGAGGAAAGAGCTAGCGGGCCTCCGTGAAGCAGATTTTCCTGTTACGAAGTATCATCGAGCAGTGCGCGGGATGGAACGGTCCATCGTTTATTAGCTAACTTTGTCGACTTCCGTAAAGCGTTTGACACACCGTATACACCGTGAGAACTTGTGGAAAAATGCGAATTATGAAATATTGGAGAAACTCGTCAATCTAGTGAGAATGTTCTACAGTGCATTTAGATGTGCAGTCGACCACGAGGCAGAGTTGTCAGAGTGGTTTGATGTGCCATCAGGTGTGAGATAAGGATGCGTGATGTCAGGACTGCTCTTCTTATTAGTCATCGACTGGATAATGAGGAACACCACGAGAGTAAAGAGAGGACTGAGGTGGGTTTTGGACACACAAAAAGACTTGGACTTTGCCGACGATTTAACTCTACTATCAATGTCACGAACGAGTTTGCAACGAAAAACGAACGAACTGGAACGCTATGCTCGACAAACCGGACTGTACATTAACATCAACAAGAGCAAAGTCATGGAAATTTTTTGGCCACGAACAATATCTAACGCGAACCTTATAAGCAAACGGAATTGGACCGATATCAGATATTCTGATGGATGGATAGGGCATGTCTTGAGAACGAGACCGATAAATGACTGTGGAGTGGTTCTGAGATGGACACTGGCGTGGAGACGAAACGTTGGCCGACCCAAGAAGACATGGCGACGAATGGTGGACAAAAGAGACAATCGTTTGAGTGGGCGACCTGGCGCGAGGCTGCACATATGGCGGGCGACCGGGTGGAGAAACAGTGGAATTTGTAGCTGCCCTATGCGACGACTGGCGCTCAAGGGACCCGTAACCATAAAACGCAACAAGTCAAAATGAATAAAGTACACTGTTACCTCACCAACTTCAAGCATATTTTCAACCTCGGAACCGGCGACGACGAACGGTGAAATATCTCCACCATCTTGTCTCTCCTTCTTAATATGTTGATTTAAATGGCTAAAATAATACAAGCAAAATTACTTCTAAAATAAGGGCTTTTCTTTTGCCGATCATTTTGATCGGTCGCATTTACTTATATGTTGTTTTTCCATCTATCATGCCCACCATTAATGCATTTGAATTGTGTACTGTTAAATATTAAGTCAATTTTACTTATTGGACACATTCCTTACTTGTTAAAACAACTTAATCCAACCAATGTATAACACAATGAGCACATAGACGAAATGCGTTAGTTCTCTCAATCAAGAACGTTTAATTTAATTTACACGAGAAAAAACTGATTTACCCTATCAAAAAGGTTTCTGCGATCTGTTAGCAACATTGACTCAACGCCCCTGCCTAATGATCATAGATATGTCTCTATATATAATTAATTCGTTTTGTTTTGCCAACTCCTTGCACCGTTATTTGTTTAATTACACAAAAAAATTCGTAATTAATTACCGAAATAGCAGATTTAAAAAGCGGCATCCGCCGTAATATTGCGACCAATGTTTATGATACAATTGAAGGTAGTATGTTTCAGAAGATATCTCCTAAAAAACAAGGCATTTTTTAACATGAGAAAGTAGAATAATCATTCCCCAGTCAATAAAACAAAAGACACAATATTTCAAGAGCAGTACAACCAGCTAGTCCACCAACTCTCTATAGAGATAAATCTTTAACAATATGCAAATTATGAACATTATGTAGCCAACAATCTTTTGCACTATGACAACCAACATCTTTAAAACTTTGCCATAACTATTCATAGTACACTGCTGTAGTAGGAAGCTTTAGATTTGACTACGGCTTCACATAGAGTTCACAGCCCTAATCCTAAGCTGAACCCTAATCCAAACACTAATCCTTAATCCTAGTGCTAATCCTCTGACACAATTTCAGGATATTAATATGGAAAGTCACCTGGAAAATTCCATGAAAATCAGGTGTGAATGATATGATTTCATTAAATAGGATTCTTTTAGTATAGGATTAATAAAATGTCATCTCCAATTGAAAAATCATATGCAGTACTAATTAAGTGTTTCAATATAGAAATATACATAGGTAATGTAGTACATCACTATAAATTCAATTGTATTGGTCTAAATATTTCAATCATTTACAGTTCTGTCAGTTTTTAGTGTTAAATAAACCAAATAATTGGTACAGCATGACCAGTATAACCAGCATGAACAAAAAATGAAAGGTAACAGTAAAAGCTACGTCTTTCCAAAGAGTTTTCCTTAAGGTGCCGAACATAAGAATAAGTAAAAAAAGAAAGGATAGGACATGCCTCTACCTATGTGCTTTTATCCATTACACATGGCTATATTTTATGGACTTACTTTATAAATTTTATCTACATGGGAAGTGAGTAGCTTCTTAACTTCCTCATACAACCTTTCCACAAGAGGTTCAGGGTAAGCAACACACATGGAATACACATCTTTAAGATTCAGTAAAGGAATAAAATTAAAATGATAATTTCAAAATAACAATGCATTATTATTACACAGTTAATTATTAGGTGCATTCCGAATGTCAATGCATGAAATCAAGAGAATATATCATACTGTATCTTCTCCAGACGAAATTTAGTTCTAGTTTAAAAATAATGAAATTATATATTTATCATTTCCTGGACCCAATTTATATATAAACTTCAAACTAGTCTTGTTGCAATATTATTTTAAATAGGCTTGCATTATTAACATAGCAGCTACATTTTCTGAATTCCCCATGGTAGATTCATTTATCAAATATGTACAGCCAATTAATTTTGTTTTCTGCAACAATCCTATATCATGCCATGCCTATATCCTTATTTTGATTCCCCTTGTTATTATTTTAAAATTAATTAATATACATGTATATACACAGGAAATATTATAAACAATCTTAACACCATGCATTATAGTTAAAAATATTACATGACATTAGTTAAAATATTATATGGCATTTCCCTTGACTTTTTAGTGCGAAGATATTGAAATCTCATATAATAAACAAACAATTTTAAAAGGATATGTGAATCTTTCATTCCAATCTTTTGTTGTGACCTTCTTCAAGCAGATAACTGCATCAACGGTATCAGATATTTTTTGCCACGTTTCATCAAAATTCACCCTTCTCTGTATCAATGCCATACCCGATCGTGTTTGCCAGCTACCCAATAATAATTATCTTTTAGACTTTCACCATTGAAATGCACAACCAACGTAAACTTCCGACCACCTCATTGCTACAACAGCACAACTACTTTTGATTCTCATTAAAAAACGTTTACCCATGAAAAGCTTATTCACATTGCAAGGTTCCCAGGGAGTTTAAGTCATTCAAACCATGACCAAAGAATATACAAGAACGGAAGAACATGAAACTCTAAATATTCTAATATAAATATTCTAATATTTATAAACTATAATACACTTTGTAACCTCTCAGTCACTCTCAATTCTCTAACTATCTGTTTCCACTTGATTACCTAACTTTCCGCAACCGCATAAATTCCGCATTCTTTATTACATCCAGCATCATTACATCCATTCATTACACTCATGAATCCGACACAGTGATCCGACAATACTGATGACTCGAATAATGACCAGGTATTTGATACTCTACCAGACGAATTGACAAAGCGCCATTATTTCTTTAATAGCTGTTAGCCTGGATTTGAAAATTTTCACAAATGTATCCTATTGCCTATTTTGAAGATGGGTTTCCTGCATTTTAGGCGCAAATACTAGGTCTTTCGTCTAGAATAAAATCCTAGACATTTTCCAGGCTATAACAAATCGTATTTCGTCTAACTGGTTCTATGTTAAAGTGCACGGTCGCGCTCTATAAAACATCAGGAAATTTTTAATTTAGGCTCACTAGCCTCGCTTAGTCCAACCTCGCAAGCCAGGCTCTTTTACCTACGTTCCACGGCCACGCTGCGGCAAAGACAGCGTTAGTCCAATTTTTACTTTTTAAATCTTTGCCGCAGCGTGGGCCGTGGAGCGTAGGTAAAAGAGCCTGGCTTGCGAGGTTGCACTTGGTCGGGTACTAGGCACTAGGAGCCGCACGAGGTCGGTCAGCAAAATTCTTAGTGGTAATTTTTTAACTCTCATTGTAATTTTTTGTAATTGGCTTATTGCTAAAATCTTGTCACACTTTAGTGGGTTACACCAGTTACACCCACTTGTAGGTCAGTGGAACTGATTGCGCAATTTGCAAATCTTACACACTCGTCACACCTCGTGGTCACGCTCACCGCGGTCACATTATATTGGACAACTTCGTTCCCAGGGCATTTTGTTTAGTAAATTGGCCAAAATTTATAAGTGAAAAAGCTCTCCTGGTCCTTGGGGTAGAAGTACTCAAATATTTAAATTTAGTTTCACAAGGATACATAGGAGTAAGCATAATGTCACAGGGATCAGAGGTAATGTATTGCATAAATGCAGAACATCGTTTATATAAAGTATTCATTGTGCAATCACTGTAAAAAAAGAACGCACACAATCATTATTATAATCAGTGGATTGTCACAATTTTGCTGCATGCTGTGGTGTTAGTTAAGGCAAGCTATAGCTTGGGATCTGTTACTGCGATCAAAATTTTCTGGCAAATGATATAGCCATATTCATCTTCTATTCCATTACTTATGTACAAAGTCCAAACCAAGATGAATCTTGCTCATCAGATGTCTTACCCCCTTGGATGTGTCCCTTAATTTGTGCTCTTAATTTCTTGAACATTAGCATATCACTATATATCTTTGCTAAAAAAACAGTATGCTAGTTGTATAACATTTAGATCTTAAGTATAAAACTCGGCCTGCAGAAAATAAAATTTATGTCATGAAGGTTGACAATATGTACATCAACATGTATTAAAAATATGAGGCCAGATAATACAATTGATTAATGCTTATCAAATAGATATTCTATTTCAGGCATTTCAGAAAGCTGCCAGTGAAGCAAAAACTTTAGTCCAAAAACCTACAGATCAAGAAATGCTAGATATGTATGCTAATTATAAGCAAGTGACAGTAGGAGATTGTAACACTGGTATGTGAATGTTACTTGTATGTATGTCATGATTTGTGAATCCCAACTCTTTGGATATGACTCCCAGCCCAAGTGACTTCATTTCAACAATGGCAATGATCATTGTAATATTACCCTCTACTTCTATTATTAATAAATCTGGCAACTGGTATAACACAAACTGGTATATTTTGCTTTCTAGAAAGACCTGGGTTCCTTGATTTTACTGGAAAAGCAAAATGGGATGCATGGAATGCATTAAAAGGTCAGCATTTTTGTTTGAAATTTTTGCCAAGTTGGATTTGATGTTAATTTGTGTAATGTATAAATACTGTACATGTGACGAGTTTAAGGTGCTGAACATTGATTATATATGTACTTACAAGCTCTTGAGAGAGAATCAAAATAGAAAAAAATATTGTGTATTGTTCAAGCATATTGTGTAATATGCATGCATAATTTTTACACTTAAACTCAAGTCATTTTTCCCAAAATGAATCCGAAAAAAGTCGTCAAGTGTTCGTCAGTACACAATGCGTACCTATTTTTCACAACGGCTTTCTTTGAGCAAAGTGCGCACAATTTTACACTGTCCCTAGTTTTTCATATTCATTGAAGTGCACTCGTTTTTGTGACAGGAACAAACCCAGATGATGCAGAGAAGACGTACATAGCAAAAGTCGAAGAACTTAAAGGAAAATATGGAACAAAATAGGGAGTGTTTTAACACATCAAACTTCGTGAACATTTTCTTGCTAATGACATCGCGTTTTCACACTTTTGCATCATGTCCGTCAAATGTTTTTTCGAAAATATAATCTTACAAACTTTAAATTTTGTGTTGTGTGCCTCTATACTGAATCGTATTGAAATGGGCCTGGTTTCGTGCATTGCGTCGTTAGCGTGGCGTCATAACGTCAAGCAAATACCTAATTACACCCTTTTTATAATTAAGCAGTAAAGAATTGCCCAGGCTCATTAGTCCAATTCTTACTTTTTAAATTTATAATCACATTGTATTTACACAAAATTCCCACTGACCTTGATTATTAGTGGAAAACTGTCTTTGTCCAAGCTCGTACCCAGGCCAGGGTGTTCTCTGTAGATAAATAGGGCTTGAAAAGATCTAGGGGCGAGTTTGGCAAAAGTACGTTTTCTAGCGGAACACTGTTTCCACCCCTCTCCAAAACAGCAAGAACGGACACTTACTAAAAACTTGCTGGAGGTCAGAGGATCTAAATGGCTCAATATTGCAATATCCTTTTTGCTGAAACCTTTTAAATTTAAAGCTTTATTTTATCTCTTTGGCACTCCTACTGTACTTTCTTGAACTCCACTACCCCTCTAAGTATATTCTTGTTTCGTCAATTCATCCAATTTGATGCTATGTATCTTTTTCGAAAAAGTTTAAGAGTCCGATTTTATTTGTTCGGATTTAAAACATGCATCGGTACATAACAGGCAAAACGTGGTTAATAATGATAAATGCTCTAAGAGCATCTGATTGCTCGGTTTTATAACATTAAATAGAAAAATATTTTTAACATATTCATTGTAAAACATGGTTACAACTAGATTATTCTGCCGCAGCAGACATTAAAAATGATCCTTTAGCATTTCAATTAGTGATGGCGGCGGGTAGCCCTCGTATACAACTTTAGATATTGCTGTAAATAACGGAAAGCTGAAACAAGCAAAACATAGAGTTTTAGAATAAATTTGTTGTTTGCCGAGCATGACGTGTGACTAGACATACAGCTTCACAATGCATGCATATATAACATTACCCTTGTGTTCGCACTGCTTGTCCCGAGCTGTCGACAAATATGGGACAACTTGTTACCAAGTTGTAACAAACTTGTTGAATTTAATTGTTACAAGGTCTGGTACAAACATGACCTAATATTGCTACAATCTTGTGCTCCCAAGCTTGTTGTGTTTATATCTTGGAACAAGTACTGTATGATGCCATCGACTTGCTGCAACAATTTAATTGGAGCGAGCATTGCGAAAAATCTAGTTACAAGCTTGTGAACAGACTAGTACATAGCTTTTTTGCAGACTTGTTACAATGTCAACGTGTGCGTTTTTGTGCATGTATACGAAAATGATGATGATTAAAATGCTTTAAAAAACAAAATTCTTAATACAATACCTTTCTGTCCACCCGTTATCTTTTATTATTCTATATAGTTCGTGTAGTGTGTGGGGTCCTTGAAGTTTCTGACCATTTAAGATTTCCTTCTCAATAACTTCAAAACTCTACACAAACGCACACAGAAATTGATATGTTATCACTATTGCAATAACTATTGAACCAAATATTCATAAGGGTGACATTGAATTTTTTAGAATTGCATTTAAATAGAGCAAATATCATATGTGAAAACATGTATCATTCACAAGCATGCAGTTAGAAAATTTTATGACGTTTGCATGGATAAGCCAGGGTTACTTATACTGGCGTTGAAAGTAGGCTTGATGTGAACAAATAACATCTACTTTATTTACCTTTCCGGTTCTTACAAAGAGTTCTGCACATTTTCTGTTTCGACCCCCGTAGCACGTGGCAATAAGATCGGCAACACCACAAGACTCGAAGAACGTTTCTTTTTTCACATCGCCATAAAATTTCTCAACAAATGACAGTATTTCGACCATTCCAAGTCGAATAACTGCTGCTTTGGTATTCGCCCCACAGCTATATATAAAGAAAGTTTAGTCATTCAGTATCCAGGTGATCTGAAATGGCTGGAAGGACTAAGAGAATTCGTCAAATAAAATTCATCATGGGTTTCATAAAAATAACAAAATATATATAATGGATTATAAATACTGCAGAATGGATTTCTACTTCGAAAATAACCCTTCTTAGCGATGATTCGCTATAAAATATGAGCGCAAACAACATCCTTGCAAACTAGTGCAAGTTCTCAAGGCCTACACTGAAATGATCTGACTCATGTAAAACACTGTTTCCCTATTTCTTTGAATCCTGGATGCTTTGAGGTTTATAAGCTCTCTCTTCGTCTATTTTCTCAACTTTGAAAAACATAAATGTTTTTTCTCGAATTTGTTGAGGTAAATTTGAAATTACAAACACACATATGATAATCATGGCTGGTTCATGTTTTTATACACACATGCACAGAATAGTGAGAGCGGTTAATTTAATTTAACTTATTGTCAACAAGGATTAAATAGACAAAAGGAACAATGCATGAGAAAAAAGGAACAATAAAATGCAGCGCTTACTCTAAAGCGTCAACCATTCCAGCCCCAATTGCAACAGCATTCTAAAAAATATTCTTATTTTAGTATAAAAACGACACTGATAACGGAACGACCCAAGATAACTGCGACAAGTCCCTGCGTACTTGCACAATCAGAAATATCCAATTAGTTTGCATAAACTCATTGGTAATAAATAATAGCGAAGATCAAACATACCAGAATATGGTATACTCGAACTTGGTAATAATAAAATTGTGATGGTCGAATATATCGGAATATGCTATGCTCGACCTTGGTAATTAAAAATATCGAAGGTCGAATATACCAGAATATGGTACACTCGACCATGGCAATAAGACATTTATAAAGGTCGGATATACCGGAATATGGTATACTCGACCTTGCGTGGTAATAAAATATTGTGAAGGCCGAATATGCCAGGATATGGTAAACTAGATCTTGGAGATTTAATACCGGTATACGGTATACTCGACCTTGCTAATGAAAGAAGTAAGTGAAGGTCGAATATTCCAGAATACGTTAATTAAAAAACAGTGCGTGAAGTTTTCCGACAGTTCTAATTTCAAAACTCTTGAAACTTTTCACCACTCATGGAGACTTTCGATTAGTTCCGATTCTTGTTCAGTCCAAAAGTACGCCAAGAATATTATGATCGGGTCGGGTAAACACAACGTGGAGTAATTCAAAAATAAATTGGAATGATGTCTCTAACGGCAGCTACCTTTAATGCCCCACAAAGCTCGACAGTGGCTGAATCTGTGACAGTATTTATCTTAAAGTATCTGCAATGGAAAACATCTTTGAGAATTGGACCATGTTCTGGTACTTTGCAACCTAAAAAAAGAACCTTATATAATTGTGGAACGCTCGCCTAACGTGGGAAGGGGCAGACGTAGGTGGGGTAAAGGGGCAGACTTAGGTGAAGGGGTCAAGCTGTAGCCAGGGATAATGGCTTTCAAAAGAAATCAGATGGGTTTAAGAAGAATATTTGAACTTGCACACACCATGCCCCCCCCCCCCAATGAGGCCCTGTGTAAACATTACCTATGGTTGCTTCTACGAACATTTCCTGAGCGACTTCCCCTGCGAGGTTTGCTCCCATTAGAACATGGCATGGAATGGAAAGCTCATCTTCAATCACTTTGGATATCAATGAAATGCCTTCAATTGCTGAATCGAGTCCCTAAAATTAATCAATATGAACCTAGTTAACATGTTGCAAAAGTGGAATTTCCCAAAGCAAAGTGGCAAAAAAAACAAACCCTTGTTTTTTTTGGTTAGAATTTGCAATCATTGATCAAGAATTTAGCGATCTTGAATTTCTTTCCTTTTCAATTCCACAAGTGGAAATCAAGTTGTCATACCGTACCTTGATTAAGGAGATGCCTATAGCATCATTCTTAATTTTGCCTTTCAGAGACTGGCAAATACCCCGAATAAACTAAATGGAATGAAGAAACTTAATCACATTTTCTTTTTGATCATGATCTATACAAATTAAGGGCTTTGCATGCAAGCTTCTAAATTTGGAAAAAGGTGGGAAAATTATGTGAAAAATTATGGGAAAAATTATGCTTCAAGTTGTTGCTGGTAGTCGATCATTACAAAGTTTTGTTTACAGATTGATCGTGAATTTAATTTGTTAGTGGTAGTTGCATGCAGACATTGATGTTCTTGATTGGAGTGTTGTAAAACATTTACAGTTTTGTAATCATATAATCATGCTGTTCAGTTAAAATTTCTACTAATTTGTCATAAAATACAGCTGAATTTAGAAGTTAAAAACATTGTCAATTCCTAGTGAGAGACCTTTAATTCACTCATGAAACTCACATTGTGTGGCAGCACAAAGATTAATATATCTGCCTCTTTAGCTGCTTCTACCAGATCTGGAATCGCAACCTAAAACAAAAATTTACCAATGAACGTTAAGCATCCTAAAAGAATTAAATACTACATGTGTTCATGCTTGGGTGAATACCACTTGATGGCAATTAACATACCACATTATCTGGCAATTTTATGCCAGGCATATACTTTGGATTCTCATGATCTGTATTTATGATTTCGGACAACTTGCGATCATCAACCACCTCTTCATAAACATACATTGTCACAGGAGGCTTGAATTTTTCCGGTTTTTGTGCAACATTCTCTCCAGCGACTTTGGCTATGGCAGAACCCCTAAATATAACACACAAATTCATACAAAATAAAGGACTGCAAAGAGGCATGCTAGTAGAGTACGTATAGTCCTTAGGCATGCATATATATCGGTGCAAACCTCACTATAACATTAAAACTTAGCCTTAATTGGGCTTAGGCTTAGCCTTAATTGAGCTTAGGCTTAGCCTTAATTGGGCTTGGGCTTAGGCTTAGCCTTAATTGGCCATAAGGCTAATACATCTGATTAACTAACTTATACTCTAAATTTTTATACACACACAAACGTTATATAACTTGTGTGTGTGTTTTAATATAGAATTAATAGACTAATAGAGTAATAGATAGACTGGTGGATACCCCATCATGATGTATTAAAAAATTTAATAAACAAGCTGAGCTTCCGGCTAATCGTACTCTGAATTACAGCATTACTTTCACTTCTTACTACAAGTAATTCAATGAAAATTATAATCCATAGGCTTCAGTTTCGATACCCGCACTCATGTCCTTCAACCCAGCTGTCAAACTTACCAGTTGCCCGAGCCAACAAGGCATATACTCTTCGGCTGATCGCTCATGATCGAAAGCCTCGAATGGTATGAAACCTTTTGAGCAATTAGCCACGATCTTCTTAAGAAACTACTACGTTGACAAGTGTACGAAAAACCGCGACATGTGAACCGGAACGACCAACCGATCATCACACACAGTACTTCTGACTTTCGTTTATTTTCATGTTTCTCATTACAAGGTTGCAAGACATCAACCTCGTACCCAGGGTCTTTACTCTACTCGTGGGGAGAAAAGACCCTGGTTGGGGCTGGTCACGTGTCACGCGGATTTCGCGTGGTAAATTTAAATTCTTATCTGGGAGGGGTGACAGAGGAGTTGTATTGAAAATTGAAATTTAGATTGGCCATCATTTTGTTTTGATTATACAGAATTCGCAAAAGTTTGGATTTCTTTTTCGCTAATATGAACTTATATAAATCTTGGATTGAAATTAAATACATCCTGTTGTCAAACGCATCACACATGTAGTAATATTAAATTACACAAGTAAAAAATTCCGGTGAATCCGGTCAAATTTCACTCAATCGATCTCGGGTCTCGACCGCCGAAGAAACTCTACACAAAACGAAGGGAGTGACTGGGAATCGACAGCTATTTCTCGTTGTAGACGTTGTAACTGTGTCGCTGATCCAGGGCAAAGTAAAAATCTCTTTCGTGAAAGGAATTAGACAATTTTACGAAACGCGGAGGTCGTTTATGGCAACGAGTTGCGACAAGACATAAACAACCTTCCACATTTGGTTTGCGCCTCGTGTGTTTAATAGGAGATTAAACTTTATTCAGTTCAAGAATATTTTACCGAAACACGGCGATCATTACAAGAAGATACACGTATTAAACGTTGTGTCGAAATTTCACCTTCTGTGGCAAAACCGTCAGCCAAGGCTCGAGCGAAGCAAAGATTTCAATATTGCCACTGCCGGCGATCAGTCGCCTAGTTCGAAATCGGAATTGCACGTAAGTAAATTTATTAAAATTTATTTATGTTGTTTCTTACAGAATATTCTGCGTTGATAATGAGTTATGATAGACTTAAATAAATGATGCATTTTAATCAGATTCATGTTTCATAATATAAATATGAACCATGGTTTGGTTCAGGATATTGCAGTGTTTCAAAAATTGATACATAATCATAAAAACTGTGATTTGTCTAAATAGTATGAATGATATATTACTTTTTTATAGACTGCACAAGTATTGGATATGGCAAACAAAGAACTTGAGGTTGCCAGAAGAACTGAGCCATCTGTTTAGGGGACAACACAAGGACATATGATGGATGTCAGAGGTGTTGGAAGAGTTGGCCACCAGATGGATCAACTGACACAAGAAAACATTCTTATACACTATACCTTAGCAGGTGAATTAGCTGACGAAGATTCAGAAATATAAAATATAACATTGCATGGAAAAACATTTTCAACGCAGGCAACCTCACTAATATTAGGATAATTTTCTTGAGGACTGTTCATTTATTGCTTATTAAAAATAGTGTAGATAAAATAAGTTTATTTATGTAGATAGAACTATTCCTACATATGCACATAAGATGGAAACGTTTGAACATTCTAGAAAACATAGTGAACAAAAAAAAACTGCAAGTTATTGAAGAGGATTTATTTGTTAGAATTTGAATGCCCAAGGGTGTATAAAGAAAACAAGATGTTTCCAAACTAATAAAATGTTGTCAAGCACAAGAGTTTATCACAACTATGTTTAATCTAATAGCCAATAAGGTCCCTTCTTTTAAAACACAATGTATATGTGATGTGCAAACATAATTAGCTTAAATAAAGAAATTAAGATATATTGTTAAAAGCACATAACTTTCTGCATGCCCTTGGAAGTTTGAAGCCTTTATATCAATCTTAACACTGCATTGTTTTCTGTCTCAAACTATCAACACCCTTGTTCTACAGCAAACTCTACAATGTCTCCTGTAAACATTTACATTTATTTTCACATGAACAAAGTTGCATTAGGATTTCTTGCTTCATCTAAGAGGTTTGTGGGACATGGAATTGTGCACTACAAATAGCCTGGTGTCAAAATTGATTGTTTAGCATAAATATATTTTCTTTTGTCATGTTTAATGTTTTGGTTCTAACTTCTAATGCTTTTCCTGTTTAGAATAGTATATTTACTCAAGTTTAAATCTGTATAAAATGGTACACAGTTTGTGTCTTTACTGCAAAACTACCTTAATTGTGAACTAGAAAATCAAATTAAAATGCTCCACAATATTAAAATGAAAATAAAGTTCATTTGTTAATGTGTCAGTGTATCAAGTGGAAATTTTTAAGTTTGTTGAACAGCATTCTAATTTTTTGTCTGCTTTTAACACACAAGCATTTAACTAGTGGTGGTGTGGAAGTCCAGCTAGCCATAGTATAGTTGGACTATAATCTTAACTAGTTTACTGATGATTATTTTTTATTTATTAAAAGCAAACTGCAATTATTTAGCATAAAAATTAAAAATTTTATGGCATTAATAAACTGTAAAAGTAAACTTGGGTGCAACAGGGTTATATTTAATATAAAATGCACAGTTTTATATACGGTAATATACCAGTAAACTATGCAATTTCTCTTCAACTATCACACGCTTGGATTCTGCTCATGTTTAGGCCAGATATTGGTCTTTCATTAAATAGTCTAATTTAAGGGCGAAACGACAATAGAAATGATGTTACAGGGCAATTTTAATACTTCTCTCCAGAAAGCATTAGCATATTATTTGTCGCGCAACTTGTATTTCGCGAACACCAATATGGGCAGTAGATGAAAATTTACGGACTTTGCATTTCCCTTCTCAATGCAGACATTACATTCTTCTCTAAATAGGCACTTTCCAGACAAAAAAGCATGCTTTGGATTGAGAATAACTCGTTTGTTAACAAAAAAGCGATATGGTCGAAGCAAGAACATAATAGCGATTTCGAATGAAAGAACGCTACAAGTGGAAGCATGTAATCCGACCAGTGAGCTCCACATATATCTGGAGTAAGAACTTTGGGTGCAAAAAGTGAAGCCAAAGATGGCGGAAATTGAAGCGCTATAGTACGTCAGTTTCAGTCTCCTAACTCGCGCGGCCAAATATTTCTCATTGTTTTTGACCGGGAGTGACGTTCCCGAAACCCTCAGATTTTCGTGTTTTTCATCATTTTGAGACCACAAGAATGGAAAAAATTGACTCATTTTACTGACAATCTGTTTCTCTGCATCTACCCGATGTGGGTGCCGCATTTTCCGACTGTACGTGTGAGTAAATATGCATTTTTCGCCATAAATTCAACTACGCATTTCAGATTTGTTTAATTTTGAGTTATTTTCATGTATTTCCAACTTATGTTTTGAGTTTCTTGTTTCGTTGTTTGTTTCGAAACGCTTTAACACTAGTTTTCCTTTATTTTTTGGCCAGCTTTCCTAGCATAGGGCTCTTTTTAAGGTTCTTTTATACGTGCATTATGAGTCTTGTTTATAAATTTCATAATCATATATTAATATTATTTCAAACTCGTACGTTTTTCAGCATAGTTTTCAGTTCCTATTTTTTTTTTACATGAATGAAAGCCTCATATAGATGAATTAAACTGAGAAAAGTTTTATTTATGTTTTTTTGGGAAGCATATTCTATGGGAAAATGTTGTGATTTGCGAAAAGCCGAAAACATCAACAATCCGCTGCCACTCCTTAGCTTTCTTTGTAAGATATCGCTTATTTATTTGTTAATTAACTTAATTTAATTGAAATATAAAAGTATCTCAATACAAAGCATTAATATTATACTTTTCATTGAAATTCCCCTCATTTTTTACTCAAAAATATGAAAAAATAAAGATAAAAAATACGAATTTAGTTGACCGCGCACACATAGGAAGACTGAAACTGACGTACTATAGCGCCTCAATATCCGCCATCTTTGGCTTCACTTTTTGGCCTCACGGAAGTCTTAAGTTCTTACTCCAGATATATGTGGAGCTCACTGAATCCGACACTCAGCCACACCCCACTGAGCTATATAATAATTCCTGGAGGACCGGCTCCTAATCACTGAGCTATATAATAATTCCTGGAGGACCGGCTCCTGTCAAAAAAGTGAAGCCACTAAGATGGCGGATTTTGAGCTTTGCTGACGCCACTTGGTTCCTTTTGCTCATGGTAGTTACCACTGACATACCGCGATACAAGGTGAAAAACTGTGTCCATCACCCTCCCGATTTTTACGAAAATATTTTCAGCTTTCCGTATATATTTTTTTGTTTTTCATATAAAATGGATAAAAGCGTTTCTCTTTTTCCCTGTTCAACAAATGGAAAGGACACGTAGCTTCGTGCTCTGCGTCTGACGTTGTGAATGGCTTAATTCACTTATCGGTAGAGTGAATTTTCTCATTTTGCCCTTATTTTATAACGTCCAGGTAAGCCGTTTTTCAACTTTTTTTACTATAAACAATTTCGTTTTTGGCCTTCGAGTTTGGACTATAGTATAAACCGATTACCAAAGCCTCTGAGACAATAAATCCATCAAAACGTGTGGTACAAACAGCAAAGATACTATTTTCGCCTTTTGGTGCATTACAGTGCTGTCAATGCAATGTTATATACCTAAATTTTATCATTTTTTCTTAACTTGTGTGGGGAAAAAATTAAATTCCTGGCAGTGTCAATCTTTTGAGTTTGGTCTATGTTGTTTTCATGATAGCAAACATCAATGTTAATAGGTAAACTATTCCCCCAGTGAGTCTACTATAGTCACTCTTCTATTGATCCCACCCAACATCAATTAACATGATCTGAGGGTGCTGATACAAAATAATAAGTTGCTGTAAACAGTGTAAAATTCCAACCTCTGATAGTGAGCCCTGTTAAAGCCTAGTTAATATATTATCTTTTCTACCTTGTCAAATCCAAAGTGAAATGATCAATTATCACAGCTCTTAATTTATTTTTGCACCTTGTGAATAAATCTTGATCATATCTCCATTTTTATTTTTCAGGATGAAGTTCATGCATTTTATGACTGTGCATTGTTATTCTTCATTTTCATGTTATCTGATTTTGTTGTTGGCTGGTGTTTTTATACCATTTGTCATATTTATTAATTAATGAAATAAATATAAACATGCATTGACTGAGCAGTGTGTCTTCAATCTGCAGCAACTTTTGTAATTTTCTGTTTATG